ATGTAGTTGCTCATAACAAATTATTAATAAAGATAAAGGCAAAACCTCACCTTAATACCAAAAAAAAAAAAAAAAAAAAAAAAAAAACAAAGTAGAATTAATCAAATCTGAACCAATTTATTAATTACAAACATTGAATACACTGATATACTCCAAAACTACTCATTAAAATCTGATAGTGCTCAGCAAAATCGAACAAAAACTCAACATTTGAGTTTTTGAAAAAGTTGAGCATCTATCAGTTACATGAATCATGTATCAGATATAAAATTTATTTTTAGTCTTAAACTTTGAAATAGTGATAGTACTTTAGCACTTTCATATGTTATAATGCTATTATATATGTATAAAAAAATACTATTTATTTTATTCTCATTAATAATAATATTTTAGATCTGCCACGATCTATATTCCACTTTTACTTATTAATCGGCATTTATTTTATTCTTATTATTACTGTAATAATATTTTAGATCCGCCACGATCTATATCCCACTTTTACTTATTAATCTTCACTACTATATGCAGATTTTCATGTGGCAATATTTTGCAAGACCAACCAATCCACTTATATCGCAGATCTTGAATTGTTTAGAATTATAACTGATCAGGAGTGATACAGATCTGGCTGTCCGAGGTAGAGATAATATTCTTAAAGAACAGGAAAAAGTATATCAGATTCAATTCTTATATTATCCTTTTTTTTTCTATAAAGTTTGACAATTAAAAATACTATTCTGAATAAGCAACATTATTTTAGAAGAAATTTATAGAATTATGCCCTATGCTGTACCAAAAGTTTTATCAGGTGAGAAACAGTTTACACAAGCAGCAGATATTTATGAGTTTTGTGTTATTATAGCACTGGGTTAATAGAATTAATGGTATGTGGCAGTCTGTTGCACTTAAAGTTATTCATGATTCAAACAGAAATGAGCAAGGATTTATTCAAGAATTGAAAAATTATTGTGAAATTGGTTACAAGAATTCTTCATTCTTGGACTGTATTGGAGCATCAAAAAATAACCATGGCAATTATATGCAAATTGCAATAAAAAGTTCATTGCAGCAAAATCTTGTACAAGTATAATTTAATGCTAAACTTGGAGATTTGCAAAGGATTATGACCAGAGTTTCTACCTGAAACTCTTAAATGCTATATTGAATTGGCTAAATAATGTGATTAGGTAGGAAACGACACTATTTTGTATCTGGTTAAATATTTATATACTGGTAGGTAACTCAGGGCTTAAACTTACACCAGGTAGTTATAAAATAATAAGTGGTTAGCTTGGTAAGATAGCTAGTTTAAATGATAATGAAACTAAAAAGTAAGTCTTAAAAGCAGATGAAGTGTTAAATCATTGCCGATATCAATCATCTTGATGAATTGTGCACTGACAAAATTATTAGCACAAAATTAATTTTAAAGATGATTAAAGGTATCTATCTATTTTCAATTAATAAATTTGGTTTATCTATTTTTGTAACAAGAAATTTTCATTGGACTAACTACTAGTGTATTTAAGTTAACTGAATCTGGATCTATTACTAACTTGCCTATATAATCATATGAGCAATTCATTTACAAGGATTAGAATATCGAGATCTTCATAGTAGAAGGATTTTGCAAGATAATTTGGATAACGTGAATAAAACAGATTTGAGAAAAGAATAAGTGCCTTATATAGTACCAAGGATTTTACAAATAAAACCATATAGGTAATAATTTATGAGTGCTGCAAAAGAAAAACCTGTAATAATGTTTAGGTTATAAAAGTTTGGTTTTATTTTATTTAAGATGTATTTGGAACAATCTTAGTGTAGTGAATTCATAAATTATTATACTTGAATAAAAAGATGTAATAACCGAAAAAAAATAAAACTCATTTGTCAAGATAATACAATTTTAAAAAAAGTTGGACTTGTTTATTTATTTATTTTTTTTGATCACAATTGCTTTACATTTTTTTTTTAAATTTTTAAATAAATAATCACTATGCGTTGATTGCTATGCATGATTGCTATGCGTGATCATTGTAAGTGATCATTAGCATGATTATCATGAGCGATCATTATGCACGTAAATATCATGAGCAATCATTATATGCAAAACATTATGCATGGTTATTTCAAATGTTTATATTCACAATTGTCATGCATGACATTATGCATAAAAGTTATGCATAAATATTATGCATGACTATTGTGAACGATCATTATGTACAAAGGTTATTGTGAGCAGTCATTATCATGCATGATCGTTATGCGCAATTTTGTAGACGTATTTAAATAGAGAAAAATAAAGATAAAAAGGTTTGTTTTGTAATTTGGTTATTAACAAATAAAATCACATAACTTAAATATTAAAATAAATTTATCATATACTTGTTATCCTATTTCAAACAATGGCTTCTTCTTCTGCTAATACATACATACCAGTTCTAAATGTACCAAATGTATCATCACTCCAAACATTTCAAACAAAAGTTCAGTGTGGCTTTTCTTTAAACTGCCCGTTCTAAAAGATGGCAAAATGAAAGCCAAATGCAAGTTGTGCACTAACAAAGAAATGTACCTCACCCTTAACAAAAGTTCCACTACTAGCCTACACAGTCATATTACTAATGTTCATAAAGTCAATATTGTGGAGGCAGTTAGTACTGAAAATTTTCCAGTTGTTTCTAGGCCTGGTGAGTGTATTCTTAGAGAAGCATTAGTCAAGTGGATTACAGCCAATGGTCATCCTTTTACTACTGTTGAATCATAAAGCTTTAAAGAGTTGGTTGAGGTAATTAAAAAATTAGATAATGATGTTACACTTTCCTCTGCAAGAACAATCAAGCAGGATTTGTTAAACCAATACTCAGAACTGAAAGAATCTGTAAGAGATGCTCTAATAAATAATTTGAGTAAGATATCTCTTACAACCAACATGTAAACAAGTAATTCATGTAAAGCTTTTTTAGATGTTATGGCATACTGGATTAATGAAAACTGGGAGATTAAGTCACAAGTTCTTGATCTTGTACCTTTTGATGGAACACACACTGGAGTAAATATGACAAATACTTTATTTAGTATTTGTAATGATTTTGGTATTGTTAATAAAATTTTGGGAATAACTGTTGATAATGCTGCAAGTAATAATACATTACTTGAAGCATTTGAAGTTCAGTATAGAGATAATAATGGCTTCTTTGTTAAACAACAAGGTCATGTCCGTTGCATCGCTCATATTATTAATCTTGCTTTGCAAGATTTTTTAAGCCATCAAAATTCAGAGGCACCAGATCAAGATAAAGATGAACTTCATATCTTAAACCAACCCACCTCCCAAACTTCAACCATCAAAAAGCTTTGAAAGCTTATTGCCAAACTTTAGAGTTTACCTTAGCATCGCAAAAGATTAAGTGATCTATGCCAATCTCATCAAATACAATTTAGAACTCCAATTATTAACTTCAAGAACTGTTAGAATTCAACACTTAACATGATTGAACGTGCCATTAATATGGCACCAGCAATCAATGAGATAGTTGATGAAATTCAAGAGCTAAATGAATTCGGTTAGTATTTTAAATAATCGATTTAATAATTTTGACCCAACTATTCATCGATTAGTCAACTAATTAATTAATAGTTGGTCAAAATTATTGATTCAACTAAGACAGCCAATTGATTAATCAATTTTCAATTCGTACCACTAAATTAGGTCTTTTATCAAGAGAATGGAGTATGCTTGAAGAAATAACTTTACTTTTAAAAACTTTTCACGACATCTCTAAAGATTTGTGCGATGAATTGTACATAATGATGCCTTTTGCCGTACCAGCCTTTAATTTAATTATGGATGATCTTGAAGATTTGGAAATAAAATGTTTATCCAAAAATATAAGAGAGGCCATTGGAGCAGTCCTTAATAAATTAAAGCTCTATTACATAAAGTGTGATAATCCAATATATGCAATAATAACTTTATTGGATCCAAGGTTGAAAACAAGATACTATGAAGTAGAAAGGTGGGATAAGAGATGGGTTGATTGGGCAACTGGATATTTAAATAATGAATATAACAAATATAAGAATGTTGTAGTTAGTAATGTTAACACTAATATAGTTAGTAATGTTTCTGATAATGGCTGTCTTAAATGAGTTTTTAATAAACTTCATAAGTCTACAAATGAGGTAAATAAGGTTAAACAGTATTTAAATAGTCCTGTAGTACATCATAATATGAATGTATATCAGTGGTGAAAAATGTATTCAGAAGAATTTTCAAAGTTGGCAGCTATGACGCGTGATTACCTTGCCATACTAGCAACAAGTGCAGTGTCTGAAAGACTTTTCTCAAAAGGCTCAGGCATAGATACTGTAAAACATGGATCTTTAAATCCAGAAACAATACAAAAATCAATTGCACTTGGTAATTGGATAGATTAATAATAAAAAGTTTTTTTTTCGATGTTCAGCATATGGGCTTGGTACTACAGAAAAGAGGGAAATTGACAAAAAAAAAATCTTCAAAAAATCAATTTTTATGTTATAAATTTTATAATAAATTATAAAAAAATACAAATTTCAAAAAGCTATTTTGCAAAATTTTATTAAGACAACTGTTTTTGTATTTTAAGTAAAAAATAATTCTAATCTTATTCTAAATTGATTTATACAAAAAAATAAGTTTTAAAAAATTTGTTAATTTCACCCTTTTCTGTAGCACCAAACCCATATAATTACATGAAACATATTAATTAATGTATATAGTATAGTAGTATTTATAGTATATATGTGATACAAAAGTTATTCTTATTTAGATACAAAAGTTGTTACATTAGACATACTTTTGTTCATCAGATATTTTCAGGTTTTTTTTTTATCATTTCTTGTTTCATCCAATTAATCTGTTTTCTGAATATTTTTATTATGAATAAATTTAATAAAAATGTTAACCTATATTACAAGTACACAAATTACGAAAAAATTAATCATATCATCAAGTATCTTGAGAATCGCTTTGCTTCTGAAGTAGTCTCCTATATCTGAATTCTTATAGAATTCATATGTCCTATGAAATGCTCTCCAAAATACTCCAGTAGAGTGCAATTTTTACAATTTTAATAATTAATTCTTTTAATTAGTTAATTAGTTGTATACTTTTAACATACTACTAAGCCATTATTGATTTAGAACACAAAAGGGTAATATGTTTTAGAGTGGCTATGAAGAATTGTGCCCATATAGAGGTAATTATTTGTCAACTCTCCATGTTGAAGAAAAGCATATTATAGAATATATGCTTATGAAGATGATTTAGTCTCAACTACACATAATTTACAACAGACCTCCAAATGATGTGACTTATAAAGGGAAGTTGTGTGAAATGCACTTATGAAGGTTGACTATAGAAAGAGGGTATGGCTATATAAATAATAACTAGATTTCGCGTAAGTTAGCTGTACAAATTTAATTTTTTGGTTTTCATAACATGAAACTTAATATTGAAATATAATTATGCAAAGAATAAAGATGCACACATATATTATCAGCATAGTGTATTTCCTTGCATATTCTTTTTAAAGGTTCCGATGATAACTAACACTGTAGTATCTCTATTTCATAAAGTGAAGTTGAAGTGGAAAGAAGATATTGTAGTCCGAAAATAAAGCGTTGATCCAATGATAAATTATATAGAGATTTGAATGTTTTGTGAATAGTTTATTGGAGCTGTTGGTCTTTACCAAGGTACAATTTTAACTGCACAACTTCTTTCAAATTATTTTAATTGTCTTTTTAGGCTAGTATTGAACAAGCTATCAAGAAAAAAATGTATCAAAGACACAATACTGCAATCTATTCTGTTTTTATATTCATTTAGCTTACCAAAGCAAATTCTTATTCTCTCGGTTGCCGTTCAAACTAGTTGGAACAGCCCAAACAATATGATAATTAGCATCACATAGTTTTGATCATAAGAAATTAAGTAATTAAAACCAATATGATGCTAATTATCACATAGTTTTGGCGTCTCAAATGGTTTGTGCAACATAATATCTGTGCTAAAAGCTTTCAATATTTTTACCAATGCTATCACAATAATCTACTATTTTGGTCAAATATGGTTCCTTGATTCCAGGTAAGATCTACCTTTTTTTTTTTTTATGTTCTAAATTCTTATAAATATGCATAAACATAATTCAATTAGTAACAGTAAGATTACTATGTTTATAATAACTATAATGTTGGCTGTTTTCCTAGTAAGTTTAATTATTAGAATTCTGAATTTCTTTTCTGTCAATAATTGACTTATAAACCTTTTTATATAGGGCTCAGTA